TATATATATATATATATACACAAGAGATGATGGAATCTGCCTGATGATGCCTCACAGGGAACTCTTCTCTCTCTCTCTCTCCCAAAATTTGCATTGAGTGAGGGATAACAGAAATTATCAAGCCCTTCTGCCCCTGCTTAGTTGCCCACTTTTGAGATGGGGTTTCTCACAAGACTGCTTCAGGGGGTAAAAAAAAAAGACAGCACTAGGTGTGATCCTGCCCTAATGCCTGGCTAACACCTGCTGTCCCTATTTGTGGTAACCCATTTCACAGTTTATCAGTGTGGGACCTTGTACACATGATAGAAAATTTGGTGTTCTTTCATGTCTACACTTTAACTTTGGTGCTACTATAGCGTGCGGTCTACCGCAGTATCCGTAGTCTACCAAGACCCACTGGACCCTATTACCCCTACCCCAGAGGGATCATAGAAGACCCTACCTAACCTGACTATATAACTAAGTGTAAAATTCTCGGTAGACCATACGCTATAGTAGTAGCTTAATTTCATTAGAAATTGTTTAGGGTGATAGTGATCCAGTTTAATGTATTGACCATAATTGGGTTTACCTCCCATTAATTTAAACTCTTTCTCTATATAGTTAATACTAGCTACATAGCAGTTTTTTGCTAATCATTACATTACCATATTTACAATCATTGTAACTTCACTTTTTAAGTATTATTATTATTGAAGCTTCTTCAAACTTAGCACATTTACTTTTCTGCTCTTACTGAAGAGTTAACTTTAATTATTATTTTCTGTTGCTCATTCCACGTTTTGTTAAGTGACAAAGGTCAGTTAAAGTCGAGTTGATTGTGTTACACACACCTCAGAGTATGTTTAATAGTTTCTTTTTATTACATTTAACATTGATTTACTTAGAGTACCAATATTTTAGCTATCTATTATATGATTCAGGTATTCATTTATTTTATTATTTTTATATTTTCATAAACATTAGTTTTTGGTTGTTCTATTGGTATTGTTCTTTTACTTGATTACACACCTAAACAATAAAGTGTTGTGGCAATCTAAAAGAGTTCTTTAATGAGCTTTCATGTTTTTTAGGAGAAATGTAAAAAGTTTTGCTTATATGCAGTTATACTAACATTATGTTGTTCAACGAACATTAAATCTATGACAGTACTAGAAGATAACAACTAGTGTTTATATGTTCCATAAGGTATACTTTATTATTTCTTTAATATTACTTTCATTAACAGTATGACAGAATGTTTAATATGTCTAGTTTTATCATCTTTTATTATAGAGATTGTTATGCATTGTTAGCTTAGTATATGCTTTTAGGACTAACCTAAATCTTTTAAGCTTGCAAAAAGAAATTTAAGTAATTTTACAAACATATAAAAGCATGTACAACAAAACAAATATTCTTGGTATAGTAGAAGATATCCACAGAATAAATGTTGAGCAGTTGTCTTACGTAGATGGAGCTGAAAAACTTTGCTTACTTACATGCAGCAGAAACACATTGAACAAAGTTCTAAACTTAATAAAGACACATCCTATAAGCTGCAGTAGATACAGTATACATCTCCTAGTCAACAGTTGTGAATATAATTTAATATCAATCATAGCCACTGGTGCATAAAACACATTGCACCTTGCAAAAAATGGTACAAGTTTATTAGATTAGAAAGTTTTACCTGGATTTGTTGTTTTTCAGAATATATATTGTAATTCTGTTTTGATTAATAATTTAAAAATTCAGTTCTGACCACATTTGTTAGAAATACTGAAAATAACATTTGGCCTGGCCCAAGTCAAAGCATTATCATACAAATTAAAGTACAATCAAGTTTTTTGAAGCTGTTGTTTCTTCTTCATGTATGTTAAATAATATACTTCAGGCAGTATTTCACACATGTTATTTAATATATAATGACTAAAGTATGACTGAGAACTATCAAATCCATAATTTTTGTGTTTACTAGTAAAGTAAAATAACTAAACAACTCTATTTATTCAATTATGTATAAGCTGCCCAGTGTTGGCTAACAATACGAAGAATTAAATTGTGGCAAAATGCTACAAGTTCGTCAAATACCTATAGAATGATAGGTTTCTTTTTTTGAGAGTGTAAAACACTTATATACACCAGTTCAAAAATGGCATAAAATTGGATATTTATTGTTTTCATTTTCATAGTTTGTAGCTCTGAAATTCAGGTACACAGTAGTTCTGTTATTGGATGTCTGTCCATTAGCTCTTTGCTAAAAATTTATGTAAAAAGGGATACATAGAGAATTAAAGTACAAGTAGTTTAGAATGTGAAACACCAAATAAAAAAGTCACGAAATGTGTTTTCTAACAAAATTTCTGTACAGTGAATAAACTCAGCGTGATAAGTGTTATTTTTAAATCAATGACTTATATATACAAGTTCCAATAGCATACTTCTATATTTAGGTGTCTTGATGAGCTCTTTTCTGTGTTAATTATGATTTTCTGTACAAATGCTACTTTACTTCTACATTCTTGTATTTGGCATATCTGCATACTTGTCTTTTGGAGAAGATTTATAAAAGTTCAAATTAATTTTCCGACTGATTTCTGAAATTATCTTCTGATTATATTTCCAGATTATAACTGTAAGTAAATATATCATATTAACATGTGCATTAATGTTTGTGATCTGGCAATGTACCTTACAAAATCCTTTTTTGTGTGTTTATTTTGTATGTATACCCCATAATTAGATCGAGTTTAGTTTGTTCACAGTTTTAGAACTAAGTCTAGGCAAGAAATTTTGAGACATAAAAGTTTATTAGTTTTAAGTTGTTTTGAATTTGGAAAACTTTCTTGTGGTCAATATGTGTTCACCAGGGAATTTGAAATTTGACTGATTGAGAAAGTATGTTAGATAAATGCCTTTCTGTGTTTTAGAAGAAAAAATAATGCAAGAGCTGTGAATAGCTAATTATTACTTACAAGTGTATTTACCATATTTTATTCATTGATATTTTGAATTTCTAGGCAGCTTGTGAAAAGTTGGACAATGTTTGCTTTTGGAGTATACCTTGCAAGGGAATTTGCTGATGTTGACCTGATGGCTCCTCCTCCAAATCTTTAAATCAGGTGTATGTATCAAAGTATTACAATAGCAAAGTTTTGTAACAGTAATACCATAGCAAAAATACATAGTTCATGCTTACATATGTGTGTTAAAGAAGATATAAAGATTCAGATTCTGCTGATTGTTTTTGACAGTTTATGATGAGAGAAAGTTATACATATTGATGTGTCAGTCTACCACATTGACAAGTCTTGCAAATGATTTTCATCAATTAAGTATATTTAGGAAATTATTTGGTATACACTTGTATCTTTTCAGTTTTATTGTGAAAAAACAAATTGCATTTACAAAACCTTTTAAATGTATACTGGTGTTAATGCAGCCTACTGAACTGCAGCATTCGGATTTAAGTTGATATTTTATGGTTTTAAACTGAAACATGCTAATGCTCTACATGTTTTTACACAATTGTGTCATAAAGATAAGTAATGAATCATTGTAGAAGTCCTAGTGTATTGTACTTAGAAGCTGATTGTCTCAAACTACTACATTTGTGATTTCCATTTTTTTACCAATATGACAGTAGACAGGTTAAGATGGAATTTTAAAGATTTTCTGAGAAATTATCATCTCCAGAACAACATGCTGCAAGCATAAGTTTTTGTTTTATCGTTAATTTCTATATTGTTGTACAACTGGAATGTGAATTTTCCACAAAATCCATAGTTTTCTAAATGTTACAGGTTCCTGTATATTACACAAGTGAAGATGGTGGAGGACAAGATATACTGGTCTGTGTGCATTAAAGAAAAAATATCCACTTCAAAACTCTGTATGGGAATGTGTAAATTCTTATGTGTTTCAAGTTGCCCGCAATAAAATAGTTAATATTATTTAAGCATTACTGTCATGTGGTGTATCTAATGTTGATCTGGCTACTTTCACACAAACTACCTTACTTACAAATTTATGTATGCAGAAGAAATTTACTTAGGAGAGACAGTGTTCTATTCACTGTCATGGATATACTTATCTGTAAGTTCTTATATCATTCTCAGTAAAGTCATAACTTCATACACCAATAAATGGGCTTAAGACTATTGACATCAACTAATACCTGTTTATACATGCCACTTAGTAACAGTAAACAACATGGGTTTCAGAGTATTTTTTATAAAATAAACGTAAGGAAAGATGGTATACTTCATGTATGTAAATGGTAGTGGGTTTATTTCTTAATACAGGGCATCTGAAAAGTGTGGAACTGTAGGCGATTTATAGCTTTTCTTAATTTCAGATGTGACTATTATGGTGCTGAAAGAGCATGAGAAGGTTTAGTTAATTCTGCTGTTAATCTAAACTTATTTCAACTTACAAGGACAGCATATGTAGCATAATCTGTAAAATTCATCGAAGTGCCTATCATTCCAGACACACTGTACATTATATCCTAAAAACAAAAACTTTTCCCACCAATGATTAAGACTGTGATAAAAATTAAGCCTAATAATTATTTCTTGAAGGGAGTGATGTGATAATATTATCATAAGTTGACCAGCAGTGAAATTAGCACTATACTAGACATCTGTGCTTTGAATCAGTTTGTATAAAACAGTAGGGATGTACTTAGTTTTTTTCTTCACATTTTTAGCAAGGATTTTGGATAGAATAGGTACACTAGTATGAATTTTTTGTTTGAAACTAATGGGAATCTTATCATTAGAGTCACTAAGGTCTTATTTGGCAACAGCTGGAATTAAACATATTCATTAGTGTCAAAAGTTATATTTTATCAGTGATATCATTTATACATTATGCCAAACATTACTCTTATAATTTGTTCCCAACCAGATTTAGTTTCTGATATTCATAATAGTTCAATCTTTAACACTAAACAGTAATACACCTCTAATTTTTATCTTGCAACATGAAACATTGATTATGTTAGTGGCAGTAATTTTTATGTATATATGTGTGATTAGTATTTTTTTAATAATTGTAATCTTTATTAAGTCAATAGTTAAAAGAAAAGTGAAAAATATATATAATTTATTTAAAAGAAAAAAACTAAAAAATGAGCTGTCTGTGCTCTTTCCACAAATGGCATCAACCCCCATATTTTAGTGTAGCAAGTCTGTAAACTTACTGCTGACCAATTGAGGACTAAAGATTTGAGATTTAAGATAGGCCTATAGAAGTCTGAACTTGAAAACAAGCCAGTATTAAGCAAAATATGTTTTTATTCTAAAGTATTTAGTTATTACTTGTGTACACGTATAGATATATATTACATGTTGTAAATGTTTTTAACCAAGAGGCTTTTTCAAGTGTTGTAACACAAATGTTTTATAAAGTTAAAAACTTTAAGGTGAGAAAAAATAACTTCAATACAAGCCATGATTTTCTAAAGAACAAACTTTATTTAATTTTATTTTTGCAAATACCATATTTAATATGGAAACAAGCCAATACAGTGTTGCTACATGTATAAAAAATACAAAAAAATATATATAAACATTTTTCTTTTATCACTTATATAGCAAAAGTTTTGAATGCATGTAATGATTTAAAACAAACTGTCAGAAGTTTAATGCAAAACACGTTTTAGTATTAATAAGACTGTGGGGAAAAACATTTTTAACAGAATAAAATAAGATTTTTGTTGTTGTAAAACATATTGTAAAGAACTATTACAAATCATGAACTTTGCAGGAAAAATAAAAGTTGTCAACTTCTAGAAATTACACTAAATAGCTAGAATCCAAAAGTTTCTGGTTGATTGTAAATACCCTCAAAACAACTTTTTTCTTAATATTTCAGATTTACTAACACCAAAATTTGGTTGTGCACATTTTCATTGCTCCAGTTCATAAGCTTCCATCAAAAAAGACTTTGGTACTAACCCTATTTTTCCATCTAGTTCTCCTATCCACCAAGAAAAATTATCATACTCCTTACTAATTATTCTTATCAGATCTCCTCGAAGAAAACTAAGTTCATTCTCTTCAACAGTAGTACAGTCCCAAAGACCTACATACCAATCTTCAGGCACAATCTCTGCATCCATTACATGATTTGTAATGGAACTCTCGGCATCAGTATAGAGTTCATCTTCATCATCTCCAGCAAGTCCCGACTCTCCCTCGTCATACAAAGGTTCTTCTACTGGTCTGTGAGATGTACCACCTTCTCCCTCAACTACTTCGTAGATGTCTTCCTCCTCACTCGAATTCTCCTGGTGGGCCACTGATATTTGACCATCATCTAAACTACTAGTTGATGTTTGTTGTGTAGTTAGGCTCGCAGTATCCATACCACCACATGGCGGTTGTAATTTGAGAGAGTCGACTGCATCTCCACCACCAGATGACTCTGATTTAGGAGAAGAAATTCCACTACTTTTATATAACTAGAAAGTGTACTCAGTTTCTTATACTAAACGCTTGAAAAATTTTGCTTTCTTTTCTAAAAAATATAAATAAACTGTGGAATGCAAACTTCCCTTATTCTACAGTGTGTTAAGTATGTTATATTAATACAATTTTTAATATACAAATCACTTGACACCCACAGCTGATGTAAGGTTGCAGTAGAACTGCATGATTTAGAACAATATTTTGGCATTGTTTGGTGTTTCAAAAGCAGTGATACCACCAAAAATTTATCACTTTTGAGAGAGGTATGCAAATACACAGCAGATAAGGAAAATGACAAATTTGGAAGGGTTTTCTGTGGAATATGGAACCAATACTTTAAGCGAATGTTTTCCATATAGAGATGTTAGCTTCTGTAAAGTTTCAATGTAATACTAGAAGCTAATAAAACCATCAAGCATGCTGCATTATGACTGACAGTATATATTATCCCTGTGCAAAAAAAGGAAGCCACAAGTTTTTTTCATTAGTAATGAATAATCAGCTTTTCACTTCTGCAACATGTACATTTTTATGACTTTATTTTTTCTACTTACCCATCTGGTATCTAATGGTTCCACCAGCCAGTGGCAACAACTACATGAAGAAATTTTAATTTCCATTGTAATAAAAAGTTGCTTTTACTGTTCAAGGTAAGGTAAATGTTTTATTGGCAACATAGAAATTTACTCATTACACAAGAATTCCATTTTCTAAGTTAAAAAAACAACATCTCATCATACTGAAATAATATGATATACTACTATAAAGTTTCCTCCACAAATTAAATTCATTTTACAAGTGTTGAAAATAAATCATGTACATTAACAGCTTATCAATCCTATGCATATTGGTGGATCAAAGTGACATTGTAACAATCCTTTTACAGAATTAAATGCAAAATTTAATTTAAAAAACTTCATTACCAATATATGTCAGTAAAGTTGTAATCATTGTATAAAAATTTGAATTATAAATGGAATTATAATTTCAAAAGGAAACATTTATATGAATTCTTGATCTTCACTTCTCTGTGTCACATGATATGTCTGGCACTCTGATTTCTCCTTTTTTAGATTTTTTTTGAAAAAAAAAAAGAAACCTCCTATATTCTCAATTTTTTGAGATATAAATAAAATTGTCCAACCTACAAACCAGGTCACTCCCATTTTATCATAGCTTTTATGTAGTTTCTAACCCACTTGTTACATATTAAATATACATGATTATAAGAAATACAAACATTCGCATTTGATGTACCACCCTCTTATGTTTATTTCTCTGCAATGAAAGTGGATAGCTTGCAAGAAAATATTGATATGTTTAGAGTAAGGGCAGTGCTCCAAGAAGTAACATTTTTTAACCAACTTATAGCTTAGTTAGAAAGCCAGATAACTTAAAGTAGTTTTAGGACATTGCATTCTAATGGTTGATATACTCTTTGTGTTGTAAGATGCATATGTGAAAGCTACATGAATTATTTTTTTGGACAACCAACACAGTAAAAAAATAAATTTGGCAAGTGTTCCACAGCATTAACAGCAAAAAGCCAGAGTACAGATGTATTAAATTTCTTATTTTTTGTGTTTATTTCTACTTTTGTAATAAATAAATAAATAAGATGTAAAATTAGATTAGATAACAAAAGTTACCAAACAAAAAATTAAATTTCTCACAGTGCTCGATATCCTAGCTTGAGGCAACCATATGCATATGAAGTGGTGAGGTTGTAACTTGGTTGTTTATTTACACTATGCCTTCCCACTGCAATATAATGGTTTTTTGCATACTGTGAGACAGTAAGTACACTGTAAAGCAATTAAAAGCAGATGTGAAAATGTTAAAGTTTGAGCTGTTGTAATTGTCTGTTACAAGCTGCAATCATTCTTGAGAGAGTAAAAATGGTATTTTTGATTTTATTTCATAGCTTTTAATTCTTCATTTCACCATACACTGATTATTTTTCTTTGGTAAGTGTTAGGGTAGAGAAAATAAGAGATAAAGTATGAAGTTTTGCCCCCAAAAAAATATTTGATATTCCTTCAGATAGTTCTAGAGGTTATGCAAATAAAATATGTAAACTGTAAGATGAAAAGAAGTATTTTTATTTTTACAATGAAAATCAATTTTCACTCAGACTGATTCAGTAAAGGCCTCATAAATTTACAGACAAATTTTTAGTAAAAAATATTTGATGAAGAAACCAGATTTTGTTATGTACAACAGACTTGTAACTTTTACTAAATGTTTGCCAAATTTCATTCATATACATGTAGTACATTCAGTTACAGTATGTAAAGCTTCATAGTTACATGGTAGTTACAAGATTGGTCAAATTGACCGATATAAAAAGGGTTAATGCTTGTTTAGTGTTGAACCTTTTAAGTGGAATGTTCCAACTGGTTTTGAAAAATTATCTGGAAATTATTTTGTACAAACTCATTCATTACAATAAAAACTTGGAAAGTTTTTAGTTTCCAAAACTGCTGCTATGTAATAAACTATTCACAGAATATAATCAAGTTCAAAAGTATGGTGTAATTATCAATCCACATGATTTTTGACATAGTATCCTATTGGTACACTTACCCAGTTTTGGTGAGACAATGTTATTTCTCTCGATAGCAGCAATCCACTGGTTCATATCTTTACGAGTTACAGCACAGAACTGCAAATATAAGAGTACTGACACAATAAGATCAAGACAGTTGTGTCGAAAAGTAATGGGAAACTTTGTAGAACATGTTCTTTATCATATTAAGTGTCATCAAAAAATTAGTATTTACTTGAGTAGTTTTCATTTACATAAAATAGTTATTGTGATATTCAATTATTAAGGAAATGCTGAAAAACCCTACAAGTGAGCTACAATATAATACTAAATATATTTGTTTTTTGAACAACTGTACAATATGGAATATGCAATTTAAATTTTTTCCTTTGGATCAAAAATTTAAAAAAACTCAACATCAATGGTAAAATGTTTGTTCAACTATTATGGTTCACACAGAAAAATTGTTATACCAACATCTGATGAAAATATGTGCAAACACCAAGTATTTATGCCTGCTAGTGTATTATCACTATGCAAGAGAAAGACAGAATAAGTTTTTTTTCATTATCAATTAACCCTTCCATTAAGGGCTGGGTGGAATTCACCCAGCCCGTAACCAGGAAAGTATCTATGAGAGTAATTGTACTATAATTGTTGAAAATGTATGCAAGTCTTTACACAATTTTGCAGATTATCAGTAAACATTACAAGGATTTCATACAGAGAATAACTGGTTTTTGAATTATGTTTTAAGATTTGTTTTATTAAAGATTTGCACGTGAATTTTTTCTTTCAGAATGTTGACTATCCAATGTACAAAGTAATTTTTGATTTTAAGATTAAAAAATACTTTTCTTTATCTGAAATTTGTCAAGTTTCATTTACGTAATCTCTATATCCTTCTAGATAATTATCAAACGTTTTTTTAAATAAAACTTTATATTTAATCTGTTATTTTATCAATATTAACTCTATGCAATGTTGATCAATTTGACCGACCTCGTAACCATCATAAAAATTAGGAAATAAATCTAACCTACCTTTTTTGTTCTATAATAACTGCAAATTGTAATAGGAAACCAAAAATGTTTATTCTAAATAGCTTAAATCTCTAAACAGTATAAATCTATTTATATATATATTAATTTTGACCTTTGAAACATGTCTGATTAAAAACACCTGACAGAAATTAATAATTACAAGGTGCACATGCAACAACCTGACCCTATCAACAGCGTAATGCAGAAGCTTCTGGCGCGTATACCCCATGAAGGTTCTTTATTATTTTTCTTTCATTATCTTACCTAACAACTTCCTATTTTTATTATTTTGGTTACTTTTATAATAATAAACTGTTAAAACAAAAGAAAAATAAAAAACCTTGTAAATATCAAACATTTTTATAGTTTATTTGTTATTTTTTCTACTGTAACATTATATTTAATTCTCCAGGTTGTAGGTAAGTAATCAGAGTATAACAAAAATAAAGATTGCAGAATAAAATGTATGGTATTGTTTGTAGTGATTACAAAATTTCAAAGTACTTATGGTCAGAGTTTACACCCTCACCTTTTCACACTTATTTTCTGTAATTATTTTGTTGCTAGTAGATGAGTTAGAAATTAGATGAAACAAAATGAATAGTACTCTATTCCTTTGAGTTCAGACAGTAAAGTTCCAAGTAAATCTCCTGAGAGTTTCTTCTAATCTTTTTACACCTATTTCCTATTGTTATTCTACTGTTAGCGGCTGAAGTAGAAACCTGCCGAATATAAAGCAATGAATCACCATTCCTGTTTAGGTGTTACCGTACTTTGACACCATCAATATCAAACAAGTGGGATAGGATATATCAACTTGTTGACTGTATAATGGTTACAACTGTTGACTGTATAATGGTATTATAAAATGTTCAATACTTTGTAGAAAGTCTGGGCCAATCCAGTAAGTCTCCAATACTGGATCCAATAAGTTTCCAGTAAAATAAGTATGGCTCATTTTGGTTGGACTAGTATTCTTGCCTTAGCCTTCTTGATTGTAACTTGAGAAACAAATTATTCACCAGGAAACTACAAGTTCAACCGGGTGTTTATGTAAAGATGTTCCTTTTCATGTATTAAGATCAGTTGATCAATTTATTTCTTAGACTTTCACAAGTTACATAAACTTTTCCTGAATTGCCAAGTCTTCAGTTTTGTATAATTTGATTTTATTCTACCTCAATGTAAACAAGTAGAAAAATAACACAAGTTCTTACTTTGTAAAATACAGTAACATATTGGCTACCATACATTACATATAACCAATGTTTTCAAATAAATACTCAAGTGTCAGTTATTTTTCTTCAAACATATAAACAGTAAATAAACAAATATTTGGAAAACAATGATCTCTACTACTTTCCAGACTACAAAGTCCTTGTTTGCACCCGTGAGCCATACTTGCTAAGTGTCATCCAAATTCACATGTGGAGATGGAAAAATAATAATTTTTGTAGACTTTATATAAGCATTTTGGAAAACAAAAAAAATTATAAATTACTATATCAATAATCCAAAAATCTACTGTAATTTATCAGGCTTCCTAATTAAATTGTATTTAGGTCTAAAAAAATATAATTTCTATTCATAAAATAGACTTGATAGCAATACTTCAAACTTTCCAATGATATAAGAGCATTTCTCTCGTAAATAACTTAGTAAGACTGACAGAATTATGTAGATTAAATATATAGCTTCTGATTGATTATAAAGGTAGGCATATATAAATATGCCTTCTCAAATGATGAAGTGGTGGGCGGAGCCAATATGGTGTATTCGCTAAATATCACAATATCTTAGCAAATAGAAAAGGTAGGAGGTTCTTATTTTATATTCTAGCTTGCCAATATCAAACATTTGAGTTTCTAATTCATATGAAACTATAGATTTTATATTGTAGGCATCATAAAATGTAATATGACCAAACCCAGAAGGCCACATACCACATGACATACAAAAATCAATATTTATAATAATACTAAACTTTGAATTATAATCTACAATTTCATACCAAACTTATTAACATATAAAATAATAGCTAAATAAAATGTAGGAATGTAAATCTACAAATGTGATGACATGCCCTCTGACCCCTACCCATCTTGATAGGGTTAAAAAGTCAATTTTATCACATATACATCTTTATTTGTTGTTATTTTCTAATCACCAACCTGTTATCTAGCTGTTGCATCGGCCAGTTTCAACAATTATACAAAGAAATTTTAACTTGTACAGTTACATGAAATATTTTAAGAACTAAGCTTGAATCTTTTTTCCATTAAACAGTTATTCTTTTACCTGAAATGTCCTTTTTCCTGGACAGACTAACTCAAAACAAACATCTTTCCTACTAATGTCTTTGATAGCAGTCGGGGCTGGATTGGCTTCATATCCTAACAGAAAAATTTGGCCTTTTTGACGTCTATCTGTAGGTCGTTCATAATAATAAAGAATCCCGTCTCTAATGGCACACCATCGACGCTGTAAGGGGTTAAGTAGTCCTCCAAGTCTTTCTGAAAACACAGTATATGAATACATAAATCAGTTTGCTAAAATCATACAATCACTGAAAGATTAAGTCTCTTAAAATAGTATTCAGAAAGCTAATATTGTAAAAATTAAATAGAAAGAGCTGTCAATATTTTCTATGATGCGCAACGAATTGATGTTCTGAATAACTTTTATTTCTCTGACACCTAATATTTTATCTCAATATTCCCCAAGTTGAAGATTGTAATTAGTCTCAAGTCACTAAGATATACAATATCTACAGCTGAAAATATCATTAACAACTGTACTGGCAATAAAGAGAAAAAAAAAAAACTTTACTTTCCAGATAATAAAACAAAATTTTATATTTCCGGCAACGTTTCATTCTCCTGATCCCTAACTTACCGTTAGAAATGATCATGAATTTCTTTGAAAAAGTTTTGAATATGCCACGTACCACTTTTGTAAATCATGTTCATCCACCGACCAGTAGAAAATAGCACAAAGCTTGTTACAGTTATCAACGTACTCACATACTTTATCAAGTGTCACCACACACTGCAGTTTTTGCACAGTTATGAGCCATTTATATAGTTTTTCTTCCTGTCTTAGTTATGTAGTACAAGCAACTTGTGCACTTCTACAGACATAAATCCTTCCTGATTATGTTTAGTACTACTGCCTTAGACACATGGACAATTTTTGCCACTGACCTTTGTGTTTGTGGATTCTCACCTGTCACAAGACACTACACTTTGCTTGCCACAGCTGGGATATGAATTATTGCAGGTCTCTTTCTGAGTATTTCTTGACAAATATTCCTTTGTTTTACAATGCCATAATGTACAAAGAATATCACCATTTCAGAAATTCTAAATCCCTGATAATGAACACATATTTACGATCTGGGTGTAAGAATATTTTGCGTTGGAAAGAGCTGTTACCTACCATTCCCAAGCCAGATCAGTTTTCAGTGTCAACACATTACCTATAAAATATCAAACAATCTATAAATGTAGTTCTGAGACATGCTGTTCCACTGAAACTTTATATCAGCTGTTGTTGTCATGTGACCTACTGATTTGCATATTAAAAAACCATCGTTTTAACATAATATATTAGAATACATGTTTCTGAATTGATGACGTGCATGCAACTGTACAATTAAGTTTGTTTATTTGTTATGGATTTTGCGCAAAGCTATCCTAGTCATCACCACCCACCGCCAACTCTTGGACTACTCTTCTACCAACAAATAATGGGATTGACCATCACATTAATAATATACCCATGGCTGAAAAGGCGAGCATGTGTGGTGTGACAGGGATTCAAACCCGCGACCCACAGCTTGCAAGTCGAGTGCCCTAACCACCTGGCCATGCCGGGGCGTTACAATTAAGTATCAGAATATACGACTACAAACATAACAAACCATTTCCTCTTCAATAAAACCAACATCCCTTCATATCAGTATAATAATTGAAAGGTTACATGAAAACTAAAATCAACATTGTACCTCAATATAAAATGCTATCATAAAACAAGAAAATTAAAAAGCATTACATAACACATACAAAAATTTAAGTTACTGGTGATGTAAGATTAATATTTTTTTCATTACACATACTACTATAAATACTGAGCAATTCAAATCTTCCAATATGATAGTATACAAAACAAAGTTTTGCTTAAAAATGTGATTTTTTATTCATAGGATAAAACAATTTGTATTTACTTTAGTCAATACTGATTGACCTTCTGAAGTCATTATGGAACTGAAATGCTGAATCAACTTGTGTCTTATTTATGAAAACAACTTTGGCATTATAATATGCCTAACAACTAATTACTTTTCTTTGTTTCATTAATATGAAGTTCCAAATTGTTGCAACCTGTAGCACACTTATATTCAGTAGCAAACAGTGATGTTGTTTCATTAATATGATGTCCCAAATTGTTGCAACCTGTAGCACACTTATATTCAGTAGCAAACAGTGATATTAGTTTCCAGGTGTAATGGAAGTTGCTAACGAGCTAATAAAACAGTCGAGGTTTTCTTTATGTCTGGAAAAAAGTGGAAATTCACTGATGACAGGTTAGTGTACTTTTTTTCATTTTTGCTGCAAAATCTGAAGCTTTTAACTAACAGATATATATGTAACACTACACACAGGTGTGGCAGTAACAGAATATCCCCTCATTTCAAAAAATGCATAACTCAGATTGATTTACAAGTGGAAATTTAATCATCTACACTAGACAAATCTATGTTCAATCTTCCATGCTTTTTACCTTTAAAAGTTGAATCGTATAATATAACAAGATAAACATAACCTGCATAAAAAACAATGTTCATCTATAATTTATAGTTTAGTCATTTAATTCTACTAAAGAAACAAAACCAAATGAAGACTATTAAATTATCAAATTGGAAAATTCATCTAATCTATATAAAAACCAGTGTTTGTTATATCACATCCCACTTGATTTCTCAAAATAGGAGGAGTCATAAAAATCAAAATGCATTTATCCAGATAGAATAGTTGAATTACGGTCTGCCCATTACGGTTTTAGTGAAATAGGTGAGATGGAGGTGGTGCCGTGAAACCTTATAAGTGGTCTAGTGGTGTTGGTATAATAAGCCTAAAGTAGAAACAGTGTGGGATCACCTAGCCTAGAGCAAAGTGCATAAAATTTATCATGAAAGTGAAAATATCGATTCAATTTGAAACTTAAATCATTTCTGAATTAAGCTATTTTCTGTTATATCACCAACATTTTTAATATAAAAAAACGTCTTTAATCAACAGACTCAAAATTAAGAACTCAACGAACATTTTTCCAGTTTTGTTGTCTATCCATTTCATTACATACTTTCAGTACATAGACTAACAACAATATCAGGTTATACTTTTGTTGATAAGTAACATTAAATAAAAGCTGTTGTTGGAAAGTAGTGTTATCAAAACACATTGGTTTTTCTACATATTAGAAGTTGTTAATCTAACTGATTTTTACCTATAATTATTCTATGAGTATGTCAGGAATTTATCTCTTGAATGATCTTAATTTTGATTGGCTCACAAAGGAATTTACCGACATTCGACTCCCTCAAGTGCACTTTTCTGCCTCTTTGTTGGTCAAGCTTGATTTTGCAAAATTTGTTTACTTCAGTTAGCTGTGAGGTTAGAGTATACTATGGGGTGGGGGTGGTAGTACTTTCCCTGTCACTTTTGATGGGCTATATGTTAGTATGTATATAATTCTAAGCTATAACAGTGTTCTCAAACTTTATCATTAGCAAAACTACAGCTAGGATATTCTACAACACATACTGTTTAGCAAGACAGAATTATTTTGGCATATTAAAATTAAATTTTGTATATATGTATTTTAGCATACATGTATATTAACTTTAAATATATCTGTATACTGATACATGTATATATATATTTTTAAAGGCTAGCAATTCCTTCTGTAACTTGAGAGCAAATAGTTATTGAACCATTATCAAAAATAACAACTTTAAACAAAAATATTTGAATACTTCGAAATTTAAGGTTAGAAAATTAAAAAACTTTTAGCCTTAATTTTCTCAAAATCGATACATACTCACATCAACAGTCATATGCAACATCTCAAGTGAAACTAAAAAGTTTACAGAACAAAAAATACTATGAAAAGTTTTCTCGTTGGAGTTCATACCTTTTCCCTTCTTCTCCAAGAAGCCACATTTTTCAGCTCTAGACAATTCAACTGCTGGTACAGCAGGTACACCTCAAAAAAATAAATAATATGTCAAATGTCAATATCAACTATAAGCTTCTTACTAGAAACCTGTATTATACAGTCAGTAAGAAAGATGTGTTTACAATTACTGTTAGTCTTATTATGATGTAAGATCACAAAAACTAGTGATCAACAAAATATATGTTTCAGAAAGGCAGTGATTAGCTGATGATGGTTAATAGGTAAGGCAATGTCATTTAATCAACTAAGAAGGATCTTCTCTGGAGCAAAACATACACAAATAATTTAAAATATTGTCCATTTATCTATTCACTAGTATGTTTCCCTTTCAAAGCCTTTGTCAATTTATTCAGCTTAGCTCTTCAAGTTATATACTTAGTGTTATATCCAATGCTATGTCTTCTTGAGATTGTTTTGAATTTTTAATGCAGGTGGTAAACAATAATTCATATTATATGTACAGGTGAGAGCTCTTACAATGGCAGTAGTGCTGAGATACTAGCTATTTATTATGTGTAAAAGTGAGTAATGTCCGAAAAAAAAAATGTTTTGAAAGAATTTCACATTCCACAATCCTTACACAGATTTAGACTGCTTAGAATACAAATTTTATATGACCTTTTAGTTTAAGTTATAGGTATGAGAAACATTATTGTTTACATGTATTATACTGATAGTTGTTATGCATATGGGGTTCCACTTCTTGTAAAATCTAAAGCTTTAAAGCTGAATAGCATATATATCTATCTAAACATTTTGTTAGTTTTGTTATTGTAGAGAACAGAGTGAAACAAAAAATTATAAAAGTTTTTCACAGCAATGTCCGTACACCTTTCTTTTTTGATATTTATAAATAATTAATAATGATATTCACGAGTTTTCTAAATAATGAAAACTGTAAGCTTAATGAAAATTTCCAGCATTAAGTCTGAAATTTTGCCTTTGTTTAGAAAGTTTCTATTGTTCTTGTTCAGGTAGGACTTGATGATTAACTAGATGAAAGACAGGAATGGATACTATATTTCTGTTGATAAATTACCCATGTTAATTCATGTCTGCAGGAAACAACTGATGTTGCCAATGTAATCCCCAAGACATTACTGGCAACTACATTACATCAACAAATTACAATAGAAGGCATAATGAATCCAAGAAGTTTTGCATATGAAAGCAATTATAAAAACAATATGTCAACCATCATATTAAAATTTCAGGTGTTCTATTGTGAGAATGCATGACTACTTCAACACATTTTTCACATGCTACCCAAGACTTTATCTTGAATTCGATCATTCGCTGGTTGGCTGTTTTAATAATAACTTCATATTTGATTCCTGTTCCACAAACTTAAGTGAGGTTGTGACTGGCTGGTGACATGTGAATGCTTTTGACAGAAGTATAGGATGTAAGAGTTCTTTAAGTAAATTCTGGACAAACACAGAGACAAGCACAGTTAATTTTTACGTATCCAGGTCTCTGATTGGAAAGTTGTGGCCATGTTATCAGATATCTGATATGTAAACAGTATGAACAATGTTGTGGTACGCTGTTAAGAATCACTCAATCATTGCCTATAAATCATATAGCTTTCAAGCAGTGGCAGTTTCACTAGAGTGGTATTGGGGGTACAGCAGACCCACTTGGAGAATCCCCCCCCCCCTGTAGCCTCCTCATCTAAAATATCAAGATTCATTCTTTTATGATTTTAAAATTTTCCATATATTGTGAAAGTGTTTTTGTTTTGTTTTTTTTTATGGGCGAAGTAGTCACGCTATGTAACTTCAACCGAAAGAAGGTGAGTTTAATAGTACTTTGAAAACAGCATGACTGCCATGAAACTGTGGAAAAAGAGCCTGAAGTGATTAAAAAGAATAACTATACATTTCTTAAAGGCAAAAAAGTCTATTTCTCTTGTATTTAATAACTCTTGACCACCCCTTCTGCCTGCCCCAGTACAAAATTCTTAGAACTGCCACTGGTCTTCAGAGTAAACTCGAGTAAACATCATTGGAGTCTGATTTACAGCAAAAAGACCTAAATCTGCCCTGCTATTGACTGCACAAATAGAAAAATACAACCAGTAAAAATCTGTTAAAATAAATAAGAATGCTGATCAAAACCTTTCTAAGAGGATCACCACATATAAATATTTATTTCATCTAGTAAAAATTTAAAAACAAAATCACTGAGTAATGTATTTGTGATTCAAGTACCAACCTTCTTGTAACAAATCTTCTAGTTCCCCACACCACATATAAATATTTATTTCATCTAGTAAAAATTTAAAAACAAAATCACTGAGTAATGTATTTGTGATTCAAGTACCAACCTTCTTGTAACAAATCTTCTAGTTCCCCAGAGAATTTCTTTTCCACTGATGCTTGTTCAAATGAAATGGTTGAGCGGTCAGCCTCGCAATGCTCATACTTTTCTTGACAATCTTGAGAATATATGTATTCTGTCAAATATTAAATATAATTGATGACACAATTTACATTCACCGTTGTTCATCTATTATACCCATTTCTAGATAGAAAACTTGTATTTATTCTTATAGAACATGTATTTATACATAAGCAAAAGACCCTATGAAGTCCTTAAATAGAAGTACCAAAGAGATTGACATAAAAAAAGGCATTTCTGTCTATAAATCTACCAGTACCTCTCACTTTCCAATAGCATTTTCTAAAACGTTTGGTAATAAAATGGGTTGAATGTTTTAAATCTGTAAGCCTAGGGAAATATTCTAAACCCTTAGACCAGAGAAAACTATCAAAAGTAGCACAACACTTTTGAGTAAAATCTTTGTACTTCAAATATCTGTTGAAATGAACACCAACAAAAAATATATAGTTTTTAAAAAAACACCACAGATGTGATGAACTCCAAAGAACATTGTCTCATACATTATTTTAATGAGACAAAGATTCTGAAAATAACTCAACAAAATTTTTAAAATGACAGTATATACTGTTTACACTCACTAACATACAAAAAACAGGAGGGAATTCTCAATAGCCATGGCATTTGAAGTTATTTTAGGCAGCAAGATTAGAATAAATTAATCCACGAGAACTTTTTTTTCCTTTTTATTAGCTATATTTTTGAGCACCAGCAATACCAAGCATGGGGTGCACATATACCCAATTAAAATTTATTACCAAATTCAATTTTTAAAGTTATAGAAATAAAAAAAACACATCAAATAATAAAATTACTTGCTTCAGGTTTTAGAAACTAAAAAACTGGAGATTTGAAGCCACTTAGAAGTTGGGAGAAGGAGGGCTATAAATATTCATAGTATCCCATCATCTGCACATGTAAAAACATTTGAAACTTATAACTGCATGAATATATAAAAACCAGATATAACTGAAAACTATTCATAATGACCCGTGCATAAACAACCTGCAGAATATGAACTTTCTTCCTTTTTTTTTCTCACAGAAATTATTATTTTCTCCAGCCTGTTCATGGTGAATTTATTTCTAACATCTTTGTCACTTTTTTATTTTCTTGTTTCAAAACCTTTGCCAAGATAATCAGATCCTGACACATTGACCTGTAGTATAAATTGAAAATGACATTCATCTAATCCATTTATGGTATTTATTATGATAAACTATTAAAATTTCATAACATACATTGTCATCCTTATCTAGATTTTATAAACTGTTCCTGTTGTACCAACAATTCAAAGTTTTTTTGTTGTACAAACAAATAAATGTTTTGTTCATTTGTTTTAACTTTCCATATCTTCAAAAAAACCACAATTAATTATCAAAATAAAATAGGCCTCATCCCACCCCTAATATTTTCTATCAGATTTACATTGATCTCAAAAATGACAGTGCCAAACATAGAAAGATCATAAAAATTCTTATCACTGATATTTACAAGTAACTTCCCTGGGTGCAGGGTCATTAATAACTATGATTGTTCAATCCAAAAACAGTATATATGTTCAAAAAATATCTACTATAACCTAATAAATTAAAAGTTACACTGCAGAAAGAAAGAAATATATATATATATTATAAAATGTAAATGAGAAAAATGTTTTTCTTATCACAAACACTATTAAGTAATTTATTAAGAAATTAAGTTTATAAGTAGACAAACATTCTGAATCCTCTCAGCAGTACTCAATCTAAATCCAAGTATAACTGCATCTAATCTTCTGAATAATGATAACTCAGTTTATAGTGAAAGATTTTACTTCTTTATCACTTTAATATTCCATCTATGTAAGAAATAATGCAGCTTTCAGTACACTGTATCATTATGTGTGTGTACCGAAAAGTATCAGGTAATACACAATAATTATGACAAAATACAAAGTATACTAGTGATCACATGATGATGCTTTTAAAAAATCTTAAGTTTATTCACAAAGTCCATGTGTAATTAACACACAGCCACATCAATATGTAAAACATTATTATTCAAACATTTTCCACCTCATTATATATTCATGTAACAACTACAAGCTTCCTTTCTGATAGGTTAACATAAATTTTTCAAGGTTATTCTTTACGTAACTACACCTGTGTGGGTGTATGATAACCTATTATGAACTGTTAGACAATTACAAAAATTTTCAAGGTACAATTTAATGCATTTTTCCCTATTACTTGCCTTTTGTATCTATACAAATACTTCTGTGACCATATTAAACAGCAGGAAAAAAACTTAACAGATATTGATTATCCTCATACCCGTATTGGAAACAGACTCAACAGGTGACATAGCCGATCCCGACATCTGCATGTCAACGTAAGGAGGTGAGGAAGATGGTGGCCTCACAGACTGTCTTGATTGCTTGGATTCAGAGCGACTTCCTATACTTGACACTGAACACTTGCGAATAGGACTGCTGGAAGTAGACACTGTGCTGTCTTGGAGTGGAGACAATTGCAACTGGGGGTATTCTTGTTGAAGATGATGAAGTTTGATAAGAATCCTTTCTTTGTGTGCAAGAGCTTGTGTTGACAATAGCTCTGCATTAAGTGTGGTGAGAAGAAATACCTGGACATCTGTAATAGTAATGAAGTCTAGTTTATTTCAGGTGTTACATTCTTTCATCAACATAAGTGGTGAACTTATAAGGATTATTATGAATTTAATGTATGTATAAAATCTCTAGATCATGTCACAAAGGTTTCATGTTTTTCAATTAATATTTTTACCTAATAATAATTTTAAAATATATTATAAGCTGTAACATTCATATTTTTAAGTATATGACTCTCTCGAACATTAACACTTTTTGATAACTTTTAATAATATATTATATATGAAGTAACACAGCAGATAACTAGTACAGGAAATTTTTAATTTATTGAGATTATTTATAGTAAAAATATTTAATTCAGTTGTTCTAAAACTTCAATAACAATTTCATTGACAATTGTAATAACCTTCATAAACTTGGGTTTTAAGAACTTAATTAATAAAGCCTCTTTGCTGTGTAAGTTTCTTTCATCATTACATTTTGCCAAAATCCTGAACAAATCATGCGCTTTTATACTCTACTTGTTATCATTCAGCAAAGTTGCATGTTCCTGCACTCAAGTTAGAATCCATCTAGTGGCAGATCCTCTATACCTAGCATCACAAGTAGGATAAGTAAATTCATAAATAGCATTAAAATTTTTTTTGCAGAAATTATATCTTGGAAATAGCTCTCACGACTGTTTCACTGAAAACTCTCCAAAAAAAAAAGATTAGACAATTGTTTTCTTACTTATAAACTATGTAACTCAATCAAAGGTTTCAGATAAATTATAATCATTATAATGTAAGAAACATTAACAACAGCAAATGAAATATAAATAAAAGAGATAGGTCTGGAAGAAAGACAGCAAAAAATGGAAAGTGAAAAGAAATGATTGTGTTGCTCATGTCTCTGGTGCATAAAAAAAGGAAATTTTTAATTTAGTAAATACCAAACTTCTGAAACACATACATACAAGTAAAATAATAACACATGAAATCTGATGTATTCTGAATAATAAACACAAACATAGAAAGGTATACTCTATTCTTTCTTTAATGCTACTTTCATTAACAATATTAGTTAGAATATTATTAACCCAATTATGTATTTATATATATATATATATATATATATAATATATATACACTATTCTTTTTTTATTAATAATATTATTCTGCT